CAGAACTGGAGTAGAGAAACTGCTATCTCAAGGTTGATCCTTATCTTGGAGTTATGCATTAATTTCCAAACTGTTCATCATGTTGTTAGTAAACATAAATAAAATTGTTATTAGGGTATTAAAAATTGTGTACCCGGGCCATTTTGTTTATGTTTAAAATATTGCAATTTGAAAAGATTCACGATCTTTTGCAGAGAGTTCTACAAATCGGACTCCAAAATAAGGCATATTTCACAGGAGTCATGAAGATGTGAAAAATTACTGTATAGCGTATCCTGGTACACTGTAATATTTATAGTGAGAATTTTTAAGATATATAAAATTTATCTTGAGTGGAGACAAATGAGGCAAGATTGTGCTATGCTTTGTTTTCTTTTGAGTTAATTATAATTTTTATTATAAATGCTCTGTTCATAAGCCAAAACCTCATTATATTATTTATGAATCTGTAGTGAAATGACAGCATGCAAGCTCATTTCACAAGGAACTCAATTCTAGGTTAATTCTACCTAACAGCAGCTCTAATTTGAGCTAGTCAGTAAGGGATGTTAATAAATGGTTTGGCATATATGTGTGAACTTTTCCTACCAGGTAAGTATCTGTACTCATTTTTGTCAAGTATAAAGGGCATTTAAAGAGCATGGTTACTATATGTCAAACATATCTGCATAGTTTCTGAATAGTGAATTGTATTAAATTAAATTTCTGGTGTTGCTATGACCCTGACATTTTCAGGCAATTTAAGTATTACAGTTTGTCAGCATATTAATGTATTTTTGTAAATGGAAGGAAACCCAGCTCCATGTGAAATCTTCATTTTAATACTCTGCTAATCACAAATGAGTATCTATTCTCAAAAATAGCAGAATAAAAGCTGCTTACTTTTGATTATTTGTATCAATAGCCCTTATTCCTCAATATGTCTAAGAAGATATTTGTTTTTTGTATAGGTAGCATAGCACTCCAAAGGCAAGTAATTGCTTGACCAAAGTGTTTATGATGTAGTTATGATTACAAAACAAAGAAGTAAGTATTTTAATATTACTTTAAAGGAATGCATTACATTCAAAATATACACATATCAATGTAGGAGAAATTATTAGGAGCCCAATCATATGCTTGTTTTTGGGGGAAGGAAACCATGTTGTTAAAATATTCACCAATAATAGTGCTTGGGGGAACACGCAGATAAATATTTATTCCCGAACCAAACAATTAGTTTGCTGTTCAGTTTGCAAAATGGATCATATGTTGCCATAGTGAATTTTCCCTATACCGACCTGACATTCAGAGTCTTGAATGAACTTAACTAGGCACAGTAGCTGTCGTAAATGTTAAAACTATATTGTACCTGACCTTTGCGTTTATTGGTTCCTTTTGTTTTCTACTTTTTTGTTTGTTTGTTTTTACAATCCCAAGAATGAGGGCTTTTGTTGAAAAACATACATGGTGTGACTGGAACAATCACAATTAAGCTTTAGTGAAACTTCAGAAGAGGGTAAGGGAGAGAAGAAGAAGCAGAGATCTACAAGTTGATTTATGTAGCCAATATTAAAACACTGTTTGATTTTTCATTTTTTTAGGCAATGTTATGGGTCCCATGTAATTTTCAACTCAGAATTGTGTAACTGTTTCTGTCTGTGTTTGTATTAGATTTGCAACAGGTCCTGCATCCTGTTAATTTGAAAATTGTTTTATGTACTATTTATAAAAGCCAGGAAAAAAAGAATAACAAGCATCTCTTATAAAAAGTAAAATGTGAAACTTAATAGGACAATACATTTTCAAAGATTACGTGGTATAATTTGTCATGATAATGGCAGCAAAAGCAGACTGCTGACTATAACACTTGGCAGTCCATTGCACTTATTTCCTTGCCAAAGTGACTGGTAAAGAAATGATATGGAAGAGAGACAGTCTTCTGTTGTCCATAATCCATATCAATAGTCTATGTCAGCCATCATGGTATATCAAATGATATTGTTCTTTGACTATTTGAAGTGTAACTTTGAGAAGGGGAGTGTTCACATCCAGTCCTTGAATGAGGGTTTTGTTTCTAAGTTCCAGGAAGCCTCAGTGCAATCCTCTAAAACGTGTTTGCTGTGTGTAGAGAGCCAACCTTCCCCGCTCCAGCACCTGAACTTTACTGACTTCAAATGCCACCTTAAACAGCTACATAACTTTCCACATTGTCGCATTGTAGTAATATGTCTGTTTTAAAGTCTTAACTTCCCTTAAGCCTTTGCTGCTAAAGAAATAAACAGTGAACTATTTATTTCTTTGAGCCCTTCCCGTGGGTTGGAAGGCTGCTTCATTTTGTTTTTTGTGTACAGCATGGCACAGTGTGTTATGTTTCAGAGCGGTTGAACAGTGCAGAGGAAAGCAGTTCGCCTTGCTTCAGCCACGTTGTACTTGTGCAGCATATCTCTCTGCTGGGAGGGCGAGATCTCTCCTTTCCCAAGAGAGCTGGAAGCAGCTTTTGGCAGCCCCAGGTAGAAAGCCGGTGGGAGGAAAGGAGACTGGGGCAGTCCTGAGAGGAACGCGGTGCCTACTTAAATCTTGGAGGTGACTCTCGGCCATCCTGTAGAAGTGATGGCAAAAAGGAAATTTTCCTTGGGACCCAGAAGCAGCTGCATGCATCTGGAACACCGAATATTTTTGACACCAAAGTTGCTGAACTTTTTAAAAAGCAAGACTAGAGGAAAGGGGCCTCCCTGCAAAGACAGAGGAGGGAGGTGGGAGATCTCACCCAGCACATCAGAAATCTATTAAATGGTTGCCATGTTCTAATTTAGTATTTTGTGTTCTAGTAAAACCTAGTTTTAAAATCTTTCAGTCTTTCAAAATCTCTTTTTCCTTTAAAGAAAAGGGCAGGTGGTTTTACCTCAAGGCTCTGGACAGAGCAAGAAGCCATTGCAATGTGAAACATGGTTTACTGGCTGGTAAGGAAGAAGGCAAATATACAGGCTAGAGGCCATAATTCTTTTTATGACCTTTAATGCTAAGAAAAGAGATAAGGAAGAGTATTTTGGAAAAATCTCTTCCCATTACTTTGACCAATTTTTTACCCCATTTAGACTTATACCATCCACAACATCCTATGGGAGAGTTCCACAGCTTAATTTCAAGCGGTACAAAAAGTATGCCCTTTAGCTTGCTTCCATCTTCGCACTGATTTATGTAATTTCATGTCCTTTTGATCCTGTATTGTGAGAAACTGTGAAAACTTTATTCGTCTGTGCACTACTCTGTTCTAACTCTCCTTGGTGGTGTTTTTTCTTGAATAAAGAATCCTAGTCTATATAGTCACTCTCTGTTCAGAAACTCTCATATGTATCATCGTCCTTACATACCTTACAGGTTTTGCACATTGTGAAATTTTTGCATATTGTGAAATCCTCTTCTCAGAATTTTGTTTTTGCTATCCTGAGTAATGCAGGAAACATTGAGCCACTTGTGAATATGCTGAAGAGCACAGACCCTAATACAGATTGCTGAGGAAATTTCTAGGGGCTGTCTGTATTGAGAAAGCTCGCTATTTATTCCAAATTTTTCTGCCTTTATTTTAACCATTCTTTTCATTTATTGAAGGCCTTCCTTGTTTTCCCAGGGTGACCAAGTTACTTCAGAATCTTTTAGCACAGGAACTTGTTAAAAGCCTTTGGAAATCAAAGGCTGTGTGCCAACGCATCCTTTTTCACATATTCAGTGTTCCTCTTGTGAGTTACAATTTCCCTTTTCAGAAACCACCTCAACTATTCTCCAGTACATTATGTTCATCTATGCATGTTAATTATATTGTTTAATGTAGTTCTTAATGGTTTGTCTGGAATAGAACTGGGACTTACTGATCCATAGTTTGAGGTGTCCCTAGTCTTGTCCCCCTTTCCCAAATCATAAAAAGCAAAAACCCCCAAACCAATCCAAACCCAAAACAAACAAACACAAAACCCCAAAATCCACATCTACCATTTCCGTGGTTTGGATGGCATTTTAGGTGATGACCGCAGTAATTTGCTTTAGGAATTCTGGGCAAACACTATTTGGTCTTTCAACACAATTTTTTTTTTTTTTTTTTTTTTTTTTTTTTTTTTTTGCTACTGTTCACTTTGTTAATTTATTTTAAAACATTTTCCAGTAATAATTCAATTTGAGATCTCTGATGTATCCCTACTAAAAAGGGGTTCTGGCATGGGAACCTCCTAGAGATCCTCTACATTAAATTTTGATTTGGAGAGTTCATTTATATTTCCTGCCAGAGCCTTATCTCTTTGAACATTCCTTTTATACTTTGATGGTCTATTGGCCCTACAGCCTTTCTGGCAGGCTTACTGCTCCTGTTGGGTTTTAAAAAGCATTTACTGCTTGCCATTATGCCTTTAGCAAGTTGTTCCTCAAGGTCTTTTTATTTTTCTTTACCTGGCCTGCTTTATTGGATTTTTACTGCCAACATTCATTATAAACATTTTGTACCTTGCTATTTAAACATTCCAGTTTTGGAGGGAAAGTCTTTTCTTTTTTTTCTAGTAGTTTATTTACATTTTATGTGAACCTCTGATAGCTTGTTTTAAGTATTCATCTGCATGTGCTTTAATGGTACTAGATATCTTTTGAGCAGGGAAGTAATAAACTTAAAAGTAGATTTTTCAAAGCTTCCTTGTTTGCCATTCCCCATGACCTGTGTTCATCCAGAAAAAATAAATACCTGATTAAAGTTAAAGAAGTCCATTTTTTGTTGGTGTTTCACTATACCTGTGTTGCTGTCCGTATGTCCAAAACTCTATGAGTTTATTTTTAAGTCAGTACTGCTTATCTTGCTGTAATTTCTTTTCACATTCTAATTTTTTTAATAGAATTTCAAGAGAAAAGATGGAGACCAGGAAGGATCTTCAGGAGTAGGGTTAAATTATGTTACAGATTTTTTGCAGAAACTTAATTATTTTTAAAACTGATCACAATGACAACAAGCAAAAGAACTGTGTGCATTTTCTTCTTTGTAGATACCTGGACCTGTCTACAATTTCACTGGCTGTATACAAGTCATAGAAATCAATAATTTGGGACCTTTCAACATCTCTAATGCTGTGGGAAGAAATAATGTTGACAATTGCAGGTAAATTACCCTCTGTGCCTTTTCAAATCAGAAGAAACTGTTTGTAACGATTTTGCTTTCTTCCTTAAATAGGGTGACCATTTTAGATAATTTCAACAATGGTTACAGAAAAAAAATTGATCATGTAGATGGATATTGTGCTTTCTTTTATGTTTCTGAAGTCTTTTCTTTATGTAAGATGCTTTTTGCAGAGTAGTTCAATTAAGCTTGACAGCTTATATAGAATGAGTTTTCACCCAATGAATGCTGAAACAGTGTACTAAGTAAAATAATCTGCAACAAAATACAGGAGTGGGAAGTGGGGTGATGTGCTGGTTGTGTTTCTACTCATGGTTTTGGGATTTCCTTAATCTTGTAACAAATACTGATGACTTGCTGCTACACTTACTATATATAAGATTGTGAAAAATGCTGGAAAGCATTGTTTCTGAATACATAAAACCCCCACTTGGTTTCATTTTTACGTATTCACATTGCTGTTGATCATGTATTGACAGAAATAAAAGGCTATACAGAGACAATGGTGTAGATTAGGATTCTATTCTGGCATATAAAAGGTTTGAACATGGAAAAGTGGAAAACAAAAGAAAGTAGAGGTGAATTGCATTTGTAGATCATGAAGTCTTTCAGAACAGAGTATGATTTTATTCATAAGACATATGTCCTACATCCCTGGATAATTTTGCATAAGCCTTTTTACATATGGCTTTATTTTTTTCCATAAAATTTACAGAATAGTTTAATTAATGTTCATGTGCTTGTTTAAACAGTAAGTTAGAAAGCTAGTGGCAACTGACTAGAAGCCAGAGGTCTTTTCCAACCTCAATGATTCTATGATTCTATGATCAATTAAAGATACATGAGATCTGGACTATGCCTCTGTGAAGAACAGAAATTCATGGAGATGAAAGCAAGTGAGGAAGCTACTTCATGCCTTTAATTCAGGCATTAGGAAAAAAAATCTTGACTTCAAGGACTATTCATGTATTAGAAATTAAATAATCATTGGAAAAAATCATAAACTACCTCAGGTGTCTCCTCTGGTTACTAGATTAGGAAATTGTTCTCCATTTTGCACAGGCATTAGAGTTTTGGTGTCCCAAATCATAGGCAAGATCTAGTTCTGGTTTTTATACTAGATAAAAGAGGGATAACTTTAAAATCAGGGCTGTTCTTAGCTATTGTGTTTTCTTTCATTCTTCAAAATAATACTTTCTCTGAGATAGGTGTCTACATGCTTGGGCTTTTTGACACCATTCTTTTTTTCAGTTTTTCCTATTGAGTATTTTATATAACCATTCATTTAAGAACCAAGAGCCTTCAAGAACCAAGAGATGAATGAGATCTGCTGTCCGGGGTCTGTGTATATAACATATAGAGGGATATAGATAGGAAGGAGAAGGCTTGTAAGCAAATTTGGCTTTGTTCCTTTTTAAAATTGTTTAATTTAGAATGCTATATTATCTATTATATTATAATCTATAGAATTATATGGCAAGATTTATTGCATTTAGTATTTATTCTGATACTTCCCTTCATAGTTAGTCAATTAGCATAGAAATATGACGGATACGGTATAATATAGATATTAAAGATTGCTTTATTTGAATCAGAACTCAGTGATTACAGTCTAGGGCTGTTTCTTGCAAATACTTATTGTGTATATATAACTGATTAGATGAGTAAAAAGACATGATAGTTTTTATACACAAATTGTGGAAATAGTCTTATACATAAAAGGATGCTGGAAGGATGTTGGGCCTCCTCAATCCTCTATCCTCGACGACACGTGTTCCTTTTCCCTCCCTGCTTGTTCCAGAATGCTGCAGATGAGCTTAACAGTGTCCAGCCCCATGCAGTCCATGCAGAGCTGGCTTCATCCTGGTCCAAATCACAGCTATTCCTGTCTGTGAAAAGGTGGGAAACAGGATTGAAATTAGTCTGAAATTCCCTTGTTGGCATGGTTGTCCCATAGGAGTGGACTGCAGGGAAGCCTGGCAAGCATTCTCCTTACTCATTCACTGCCCTGTGACACATGAATTTCTGCCCACACATGGCAGCTTGCATCATCCTTTGCTCTTCACTTTAGATAATAACCCACATGCATCCTGACTGTCATCTATCCTTACATACAAATTCTTCCCAGAAAGTGTCTAGGAAGCCCAGCTGCCATTCTGTTTTTGCAAGACAGGCTTCTTGGGAAGAGACTTTTTTTTTGAGAAGAAAGGAGAAAGTCCTTGAAGAAAGTTGTTTAAATAGGGCAATAATGGATTATGTATCTTGCAAATATGAGTTGTTGCTGAATGCTAGAAAGCCTGGTGTACTTAGGTTGTGTTTGCAGAATTCATATGGTTCTGTTGATGCAATATTGCTACAGTTGGAGCTGCCTGGCAGTAACAGAGTACTCTACAATGTGGCAGAAAAAGCAATCCAATTTCTTCCTGTAAAAACATCCCTGTATTTATCATCCAGTGGCACTAAGTATTTCTGTTCTTGCTGTTGTAATTTTTCTTTAATTGACCTTCTACCTATCATCACCTGGTTTTAGATTTTTAATCCTTTTGAATGCCCCTGCTTTTGCATATTTAGCCATACTCTAGTGGCATTCAGTTACCCTGCCGGAGTTTTTACTTCTTGGGGCCCCAGCAGCATGGATTACTTCATTATTGTGGTGTAGAAGGTCAGCCAAAGAGAGACACGCAGAAACCTCTTGAAGTATATGGGCTTGTGAGTAAATTTTAAGGTTATGAATTTTTAATGGGTTTGAAATTTACTTAAATATGTTCTGCCATTTTTTTTAACTGCGTCTATTTCAATTTTAAAATACCAAAAGGATGAGCTAATATGTGCAAGAAGTATAGAGAGCTTTCAAAAACAAATTTTAGATACAGTTCATTAACCTTTTCAAAACTATTGGCATCACTACTTCAGGACAAGTCAGTACCTTTCATAGGATATTATATACTCCACATTGCTTATCTCAGAGATCAATGCAATTTAGGTTACTGTTTAAAATTTTTTGAGAATTAAGAAATGTAAAAAATGAAGCCATAAGATTAATTTCACTAGCATACGTATCTGACTATCTGCTGTCTAAAATGCCCTAAATATATAGGGCAAGAATGTTGTTTGTTCCTTTAGCATTCATATTTTGTAATGCAGATATCATACACTGCAAAGAAGGGAGAATTATTTTAACTTGGTAGAACTAAATGGGAGATGGGAGCAACATGGAAATTGCCTTTCATGTAAGTTTGGAAGCAGGTACTAAATTCTGCTTAAATTCAGGAGGATGATTGGTAAAGGCAGCACTGGGCAATTGGATAAGATCAAAGATCTTAAAAACTTGCAACAACCCTGATCATTCTGAAAGATGCAGGATTTCTGTGCGTGCTCAGAAGCACTGAGGTTTCAAGCATGAGGCTTTGACTCAGTTAATCTGTAAGGTCATGGCCCAGACCTTCTGCTAATCACATGCATCATTGTATAAGCCTGGAGTTCATAGATATGCTACAACACATGATACCACAGGGAGGAGAGAAGAGCTGGGAGGGATGTATTGCACTGAGGGCTCATCAGAGCTTCCTGCCATAAGATGTAACCAAAGTGGAATAGGAAATGGCAGAATAATTGTATGAGCATGAAAATGAATTTAAACTTGACTCTCTGAGAGCAGATTTGCAGCCATAAACGTCCTCTGAGCTATGCAGCTTTTCCTTTCAGGAAAGGTTATAATAGAATCGTATCAATTAGTAAAGGTCAGCCTCCAACTGGTAGTTTTCTAGAATTATGCTAGACTATATACTTATCCAAATCTTGTCAAAGTTTATGTTAAGATTGTTTAAACTATTCCTGTCTCAGAGCTATGAATATATAGGCAATTTTGAAAGAGATTATATAATGGCCAACAGTAGTAGAAGAGACAATTGGAAATAACAGATCTCTGATGAGATCTGTTAAGAAATGAAATCGTTCTTATTTTTTCCTTCTTCTGAAGCAAGTAAGATACTTGCAATGTGTTAATGCAATATAAAGCTTCTGTAAGTGTTTCAGAAAATGTTACTGGAACAGATTTGCAGGAAAAATGACTATCACTTTCAGGTAGAGTACAGATGACAGATATAAATGAAGCTTTGAGTCCCAGTATTAAAATCTGGTGTTTACTGCAGCTCACTTCTGTTTTAGTGTTCTGGGAGCTAGGACTGCTTTATATTCCTGTAAGAGTTTACTGCATATAGTAAATTCAAAGGTTCCAAACACACACACATATATAAAATATATACACATACATATGCATATATATATGCATATGCATATACATATATGTATCCAAGCCATGATTTGTTTTTTTTTTTTTAAATATTCCTTACTGGGAAACACAAAAACACTGTTTGCTGTTTACCTAAGAGGAGTCTTACTGATGAATGCAAATGTGCAAGGCTGATTTGCACTCACAGGCAGGAGCTAATAAGCTGAGTTCTTCATTACTGCCCATTGGACAGATTTTCAGTTGATTTTTTAAAATATTTTATTCTGCTGTTAATTTATCTTAAGATGCTTTTTCCAGGCTGAAACTGAGCTTCATTTCAGCAAAGACTCTGATTGCTATTTGCATTTAGGAAAGAGGCTCTTGAATGTGCATTACCCAAGTTCCATTCCATCAAGAGGACTGATGGGCTTCCTAATGCATGGCAATTTTCTCAGGAGCTATGCAATACATTTTGGAGATCTCTACATGTTTTCTGTAAGCCCTCAGTTCCACTTTCCCCTCACTTATCCACTTTCCAACAAGCTCTAAATTCCCTTCCTGATGTGTGAGTACTCCCCTTTCCATTCTGTAATTTTTGGTGATATTTTTACAAACATCCCAACAGACCTCTAACAGCATTGTGAAGTTCAGTCTCCTGTGCAATTTCTCAGCATGTCTCTTCCTCTATGGAACTTCCTGTTTTTAAGAATATTATAAAACATCGCAGCTCAGAGCATCTGACACCAGGCGT